AGAGCAAGTTCCAGGACAGGCTCCAAAGTTACACAGAGGACCCTTTCATCTTCTCTCAGAGCCACTTCAGACTAACACCCATCTCTCTGGAGTTTCTGTACTGGTGAAGGTGGGGTGAGCCTAGGATCATCAGGGTCATTCGCTTCCATGTCTTAGGGACTCAGCTTCTTCCCTAAGCCCTGTCCCTGTAGGATATTGGAGATGCACTGGCTCTTTTTTTTTATTTTTTTTTTTTATTTATTATGTGTACAGGGTTCTGTTTGCATGCCAGAAGAGGGCACCAGATCTCATAATGGATGGTTGTGAGCCCCCATGTGGTTGCTGGGAATTGAACTCAGGATCTCTGGAAGAGCAGCCAGTGCTCTTAACCTCTGAGCCATCTCTCACCCCCTGCACTGCCTCTTATGATGTTAAATTTTAGCTTCCATTCATGTTAAGAGATATTGTTTTTTCTATTTACACTGGCAAAACTGCCTTTAAAATAATTTCACTGGGTCAAGCTGACTGAGGCTCTCTCCACAGGATGCCTCTGCGGAATGGCTGTTCTTACCTACAAGTCTAGGCCCAAGCAGTGTGAGGGCCAGGGAATGAAGACACAAAGGGTAGACAGGAAGGAAGATGGGAGAGCTCCCGGATGGAAAGTGACAGGGGACTGGGATTAGCAGGACAGCAGAGGCTTGCTGATCCAGGAGCCATAATAAAAGGGACGCTGCTGCTCCTCAATAGTCAGGACTTTTTAAAGGCGTTCAGCCCAAGTGTCTGCTAGGACAATTCTTGTACTCTCAGAGGACAGACACAGTCCTGGGACCTGTGCACAGCCAGCCCCTCCAAGAGGCCATGAACTCCATCTTTCACACACACACCTGGTGAGGTGTGTCCCTGCACTTGTGCCTCAGGGTGAGTGATGCCTGGGAGGGAGAGAGGGAGAGAGGGAGAGAGAGAGACAGAGACACAGAGACAGAGACAGAGAGACTGACTTTAGTCTGATACAGATAAAGGGGGCTGCCTGCTTGACCTTGACAGTTCCTTCCTAAAATCTCTCTGCCTGTAACTGCCTGACCACCCCCACATCTGGAACTTCATCTGCCAGGGCCAGCCAGAGCAGGGCAAGACAGGAGCCACTGTGCCACCTCAGCGGAAAGTTACTCTCACTTGAGTCAGTAGAGGCTATGACAGGTGATAAAGAGCCTGGGTTGTAAAAACAGGATTCCTATGAGATTACAGCTGACCTTGTTCATCCCCTATTAGTCATCTTCAAAGACAGATGATTGCAGAGACAGCCTGTCTCCCATGTAGTCTGTCTCCACAGGAAGGGGATACCACAGGACCGCACACAGACCCCTGAAGTGGCACCAACTCCCTCAGTCCCAAGTCCCTTACTGCCTCTATAAAAGGTCCCAGCCAGCTTTCCCTTCTGCGGGACCTCCAACTGTGGGAGAGTGCCTGCCCTCACTGTTTGAAATTAGCATTGTCATCAGTTGAGATCCTGTCTCTCTCTGCCTTCTGTTTCTCTATTCTGGAGGAGCCAGCACCCATCTGTTTGGGAAAAGCCCATTCCTGGTGTTGTCTGGCTGAGCAAGAGCCAGGAGTCACAGAGTTTTCAATCAGACCCGACTCCACACACACACACACACACACACACACACACACACACACACACACAGCCACTGAGTTGGAGAAACTGGACCCTTCAGGGTGTCACGAGCTGCACATTTGCATGACAAAGTAGTCGAGTAAGAGGTGATACTGTCCCAGGGGTAAGGTCTTTTGGAGCTTCAAAAGACTGACACATCTTTTGTGGTGACACAGGCTTGTAATGCCAACACTTGGGAGGCTGTGGGAGGAGGGTCAACATAAGTTTGAGGCCAGCCTGGTCTCCAGAGTGAAACCCTGTGGCAAGACTCACATAAAACCAAGAGACATGGCTATGTTGAGTTCAGTTGCTACTAATAAACTCACAAGGCAGTGTGAGTTAAAACAATATTATTTTACATACCAATCCCAATTCCCTCTCCCTCCCATCCTCCCCCTCCTACCCCTCCCACCAACTCCTCAGAAAGGGCGAGGCCTCCCATGGGGGATCATCAAAGTCTGTGACATCGTTTGGGGCAGGACCAAGGCTCTCCCTGTGCATCTAGGCTGAGAGAGTATCTCTCTATAGGGAATGGGCTCCAAAAGCCCTTTCATGCACTAGGGATAAATACTGGTTCCACTGACAGCAGCCCCATAAGCTGCCCAAGCCAGCCCCCCAAATGCCAACCACATTCAGGGGGCCTAGTTTGGCCTTATGCAGGTTCCCCAGCTGTCAGTCCCACTTGCTCGGGTCAGCTCTTTCTGAGGGTTTCCCCATCATGTCTTGACCCCTTTGCTCATCATTCCTCTCTCTCTGCAACTGGACTCTGGGAATTCAAACCAGTACTTGGCTGTGAATCTCTGCATCTGCTTCCACCAGTTACTGGATGAAGGCTCTATGATGACAATTAAGGTAGTCATCAATCTGATTACAGGGAATGTCAGTTCAGGCACCTGCTCCCTATTGCTTAGATTCTTAGTTGGGGTCGTCCTTGTGGATTCCTGGGAATTTCCTTAGTGCCAGGTTTCTCCATAACTCCATAATGGCTCCCTCTATAAAGGTATCTCTTTCCTGGTTCTCCCTCTCTGGCATTCCCCCAACTCAACTTCCTGATCCCTCATGTCCTCCTCCCCCCTCCTCTTCTCCCCTTCCAACTCTCCTACTCTCCTCCCCCATCCCCAACGCTCCCAATTTACTCAGGAGATCTTGTGTATTTCCCCTTGGGGGGGACCCATGCATGTCTCTTTTAGGGTCCTCCTTGTTTCCTGGCTTCTCTGGGGTTGTGGATTGTAGGCTGGTTATCCTTTGCTTTATGTCTAAAATCCACATATGAGTGAATACACACTGTGTTTGTCTTTCTGTGTCAGGGTTACCTCACTCATGATGGTTTCTTCTAGTTCTATCCATTTGCCTTCAAATTTTAAGATGTCATTTTTTTTAACACTGAGTACTATTCCATTGTGTATTTTTTCTTTATCCATTCGTCAGTTGAGGGGCATCTAGGGTGCTTCCAGGTTCTGGCTCTTACAAATAAGGCTGCTATGAACATAGTTGAACAAATGTCCTTGTTGTATGAATATGCATTCTTTGGGTATATGCCAAGAGTGGTATTGCTGGGTCTTGAGGTAGATTGATTTACAATTTTTTGACACCAAAATACCAAATAATCCAATTTAAAAAATGGGGTATAGATCTAAATAGAGAATTCTCAACAGAGGAATTTCAAATGGCCGAAAGGTACCTAAGAAATTGCTCAACATCCTTAGCTATCAGGGAAAGGCAAATCAAAGCAACTCTAAGGTACCATCTTACACCTGTCAGAATGGCTGAAATCAAAAACACCGATGACAACTTATGCTGGAAAGGATGTGGAGTAAGGGGAACACTCCTCCATTGCTGGTGGGGGTGCAAACTTGTACAGCTGCCATAGAAATCAGTATGGCAGTTTCTCGGGAAACTGGAAGACACTTGGTATTTCAAAAGCAGTTTATAACCTCAAGCTTTTGTGACTCTCAGCACACTTGGCAGCAGCATTCAAAAACTGCATTTAATTGCTTAGACCAAGTATGAAGCTGTAAACACTGACACATTTCCTTATATTCTCGGCATAACACCATGGGGCTTAACAATCATCACAGGGGTAAGAAAAATGAGGCTCAGCAAATGTAAGTTTCCCAGGACCACAGAGCTTGTAAGAGCAGGGACTCAAACCCTGAACAGAAGGGAGCTCTGGTGCCCCCCCTCCCTCCTTCCTGTTGTTGTTGAAACAAGGCCTCTCTGTGTATCTCTGGCTGTCCTGGACTAGGCTGGCATGGAACTCACAGACATCCTCCTTGTCTTTGCCTCCCAAGTGCTGGGATCAAAGGCATGTGCCACCATGCCTAGGGGAAGGAGAAATTATAGTCACACCCTAGTTTCTATCTCCAGCATGGCAGATTTCCCCAAGTATCAGTTCTTCCTACCCTTTCACCCCTCAGGACCATTCTGGAAAGACATCACTCAGAAATGCAGACCCAGATAAGCACATGCCCTGGTTTCAGTCCCAGGGGGAGGGGACCCAGGGATCCACAGGCCACTGTCTCCACTGAGCCACCTGGGTGAGTTCCGAAGCCTGTGGTTGGTCTATGCTGCACATGCGCAATAGACAGAGCAACTGGAAAGGAGTAATGGGATTGCTGATAGGCACTTTCCGGAGCCCAGGGAACAAAGCAATGATCTTGTCTCATTCAGCCGGGAGCCTTTGGCCCATTTGTGATATGTACTGAAGGAGTGGGCCGGAAGGCATGGCTCCTGTCGGCTACCTTTGTCTTCTAGGGACAGTCACAAAAAAAAAAAAAAATACTTGACCTCTGGTTTCCTAAAGTGAGATTACGTATCAAGTTTGAGAGCCTTCATTTGGGCCCAGATCTTTCTCTTTGGACTTAGTATTTTCTTCTCATCTCTGACTTCCGGCACAGAGCCCAGTGACTGCCACGGCAGGGAGCAATGTTAACTCTGACAGGATTCAGGGATCCTGAACCTTGATAGACACATCACGACAAAGCCTCTCAGAGCCCTGGCAGTGGGTGACAGCGTGGCCTCGTCTGTTTAAAAATGGACGCAGAGAGGGACAAGATTGGTTTGGCTCAGGAGGGGTGGTAGAGCCCCACTGAAGGCACAGCATAGTGAAGAAGGGGGCTGGTGGGTAAGCTCTGGATTTCCATCCAGAGAGAGGCCATTTCTGGCTCTGCTGAGACCATGGACATATGACTTCAGCTCTTCAAGCCCTCCTCCACACAGTAAAATGGATACGGCTGCTGTCCCTGGCAGGATTAAAGACAACAGATAAAAATTGCCTGTCTCTTGTTGACTGGTTCTGGGTGGAAGGAAAATTCCTCATTTCACCACTGGAGGGCGGCCCGCTTCCTCTGCCTCTCAGTCACTCGCAATGGTCTCTTCTGCGATGAAAGCAGAAATCCGAAAATCAGCCTCCGAGGTGCAGATTGAAAACGTAGTAGGCCTACAGTGGTTATGCCCATGCTGAACACACATACTTTCCTTGTCATTATCCCCTAAACAACACAGTATAGCAACTATTTACACTGTATTATCTATTATAGGCACTCAGAGATGATTTTCACATACACGGAGAATTACAGAACTTACATTGTTGAGTCATTTTATACAAAGCATTTGAGTATCTGTGGACTTTGGGCTCTGCGGGAAGTCCTGGGGTGTGTGTGTGTGTGTGTGTGTGTGTGTGTGTGTGTGTGTGTGTGTGTGTTATTCTCATACCCAGTTTCCCCTTGGCTCATTTCTGAAGAATTTGAGTCTTTTGGAACCCTGATAAAATGCTATCAATTTGGTACCTTCAGCCATCTTTGTAGAAGGGACACTGGTGTCAGGCTGGGAGAGGATGGAGCTGGACATGTTTCTTGTCTGACACCCCACTTCTCCACACAACCACACCTTCCTCTCAAGGGGCCCCAGTAAGATCAAGCCCATTTACACAGTGGGCTCTTCCACACTTATGGAGGCTCCAGATGTGACATCTGAATTTAGGCAACCAGGAGAAGATCCAGTGCAGGAACCCCCACGGGAGGAGTTTTCAGTGCAGTTGCTTAGGTGAAATTCTAGGTCATGTTCAGAGAACTGACTGAGGATCCTGTGTGGGAAACAGGCTTAAAGAACACCTCCCACCCCACCCCACCCCACTCCACCCCATCCCTGCTCTGCATGTGCCCAGCTCTGGGGGACTTTTGGGGTGTGTAATTTTTATTTTTTCTTTTTGTTTTTGTTGTTGCTGTTGCTTTTAGGGGACTGATTTTTTTTTTTTAATTCCAAGAACACTGGCCAATCCTTGATGGGTTTTTAAGGTGTTATGTGAAGATACAGTGATACAGCGAGGCAGCCCGATAATGGACTCTGAAGCATAAACAGTATAAATAGGTAGACAGACATATAAGGGGCTCTGGAGTGATACTGGAGGAACCTTCTGGATACTGGTTTAAGATGGGATAAACACAGCTGGAGAGCCAGCTGGACTCTGCCCAGGTCAGTTTGTTCCGCAGAGGCATTCCCACCCCCATTTTCCTTTCAGAGAACCAGTCCCCAGCCTTGTCACCATGGCAGCTGATCTCCTCTGCTCGGATTGGTTGCTGGGTCACATCGTCAGTCCTATAACTGACCCTGTGATGGGAAATGGTTGCCATGGTTCCTTCAAGTATGCAAACAAGCAGCTGCCATTCTCCGGGCTCAAGGGACTTGACCAGAGTCCAGCATAGCTAGTGGAAAATCCTGCAAGAATTGGAGAAGCCTGGCTTGTTTGTCTCTGGGCTCATTTGATTGCTACTGACACTTGTTCTATAGTTGATGGGAGAGGAAGGGGCGGGGGTAACAGTCCTGCCTCTCCTGCATTGGGTGAAAATGCCTTGTTTCTTGTTTTGTTCAGAGCTGTAAAGATGGCTCAGTGACTTAAAAGCACTTGCTGCTCTTCCAGAGGACCCAGGTTCTGTTCTCAGAACCTACAAAGTAGCTACCAAGCATTTGTAACTCAAGCTCCCGAAGATCTAATACCCTCTTCTGGCCTCTATATGTGCATAGACTTCCATGTAGACAAAACACTGATACCCATAAAATAAAAGTAAATCTTAAAAGAAGAAAGTTCCTTCTTTCTTCCTATTTTAGGACTTCTCTAATATGGCCACTCTGAGTCACAACCTCAGCTGTCGAAGGCTGCAATGGAAACATTTCCTCCTCCTCCTCCTCCTCCTCCTCCTCCTCCTCCTCCTCCTCTTCCCAACAATGGAAGCCTCCTCCTCCTCCTCCTCCCAACCTCTGCTTTCCTGATATGTTAGTGTTGGTGTTGATTGTGTGTCCTCTGTTTCTGTCTGTGTCTGTCACTCTGGTTTTGAGACAGAGACGCATATAGCCAAGGCTAGTCTTGAACTCTGTTCCTCCTGCTGTTCAGCCTCCCAAATGCTAGGATTACAGGCATCAGCCACCACAGCTGGCTACAGTCTTTTTTCAAGCTAGCTCTTCCCCAGCTCACCCCCCAGCACGGTTGATTCCCACAGGCACTCAGCAGTGGCCCTTACCAGCATGCCCCTTACTGCCTTCTTTGCCACTCCCTTTCCTCACCTGCACCCAATCCTTACTTCAGGGTTCCTTTTGGAGGCTGGGGAGGTAGCTCAGTGGATAAAGCTCTTGTCACACAAGCGTGCAGTGGGAGATCAGGTCCCCAGCACCAGCATAAATGCTGAGTGGAGATGTTAGTGCTCAGGGGGAGAGTGGATCCCCAGGGAAAGCTGGCTAGCAGGACTAGCCCCAAAGCACAGAACTCCAGTTTTAGCAAGAGACCCTGCCTCAGTCAATAAAGTGGAGGGTGACACTAAACCAGGAAAGGCCAGCGCAGGAATATGAGCTGCAGAGGGACAGGAATATGAGCTGCAGAGGGACGCCTTCCATGAACATGGATGTGCAGAAAGATCCTGACAGGTAAACAACTTTCTGTTTCATCGATTCATCTCTATTTTTCCATTTCTGGTTTTATTGACTTACGTTTTTATCATTCATTTTAAAAAGTAACTTTTATTTACTCTGACAATTTCATATGCATAAACAATGTACTTTGATGACATAGACCCCAAGTCTCCCTTCCCCGGGGAGCCCCACCCCTTCCTCCCTGTAAGCTTTTCTCTAATTGCTTCTTCTGACTACTTTTCCTGTGTAATCACTTAATGCCACCATTTGAAGCTTCACTCCAGGCGCTCCTTTACCTGATCCCACAGCTTCTGGTGTGCTTTCATTGTTGTTCTGTTTAAAAGACTTTCTCTCTGACCCGATGAAGTGTTTTTTTTTTTGTTTTTTTTTTTGTTTTGTTTTTTATATATAGCTAAGTGTTTGGAGACCTCACTGCTATTGATTTTTTTCTTTTTGCGGCGTTATAGTCACGGAACATTTTGTGCGGTTTGTTTTATAATAGAGGATCAGGACAAAATTTCACTGTGCACTTGAAATGAGTATGTCCTCACTCTTGTTGGGTGGACTGCTCTACAAATTTCAATCAGAAACACTTCTTCAGTGGTGTGACTCACTTCCTCTGTACCTGCTGCTTTTTTGTCTACTACTTCCTCTTGGTTTCTGAAAGGAAAATGCTGCAGTCTCCAAATAGATCATGGTTGTCTGCTTCTCTTCAGTATTGATCGTATTGTGTCACGCATTTTGAAGCCCTGGTAGGAACACGCACACTAAGAGAGAGAATGTCTTCTTGATGAACTAACTGATTCTTTTTAAATTTTATTTTATGTGCATTGGTGTTTTGCCTACATGCATGTCTGTGTGAGGATGTCAGATCTTTGAGTTACAGGCAGCTGTGAGCTGCCATGTGGGTGCTGAGATTTGAACCCAGGTTCTCTGGAAGAGAAGTCAGTGTTCTTAACCACTGAACCATCTCACCAGCCCCCTGATTCTCTTATTATTAAGCAATATTCTCCTTTACTGGAAAATCTCTATCACAGGAGGCTGATTTTCTGTGTGTTGATGTCAATTCATCTAAAATTAATATGAATGCCTCGGCTTTGTTTTGTATTGTATTAGATGATTTTTTCTTATTCACGTATGAATTTTTGTTTATTTGTTTTGCTTTTTTGTTTGTTTTTTGATTTTTTTGAGACAGGGTTTCTCCTGTAGCTTTGGAACCTGTCCTGGAACTCACTCTGTAGATCAGGCTAGCCTCAAACTCACAGAGATCTACTGCCTCTGCCTCCTGAGTGCTTGGATTAAAGGCATGTGCCACCACTGCTCAGTTTGTTTTCCTTTTTTGAGATAGGTTTCAAATGCTGGATTTACAGGCCTGGATCATCACTCCCAGTTATGAGGTACTGGAAGTCAAAACAGGGTTTTACTCATGCTAGGAAAGCCCTCTACCAACTGAGCTACACCAGCAGCTCTTCATTTGTGGATCAATTGCTTCTCTCACTGTTATGACCAAGAAGCAACTTAAGGCAAGGTTTTTTATTTGGCTTATGATTTGAGGGTATGCTGGGAATCAAACCCTCATCCTTTGCAAGAGCAGCAAGTGCTTTTAACCACTGGGCCATCTCTCCAGCCCCTTTTTCTCAGTTCTTAAATAGCCCCTGAGAAGAATAGACAGAATAGCTAGTGGGGAGACAGAGTCTGGGAAATAATCCCAAAATGACCATAGAGGTCCTTGTAGGGAATAGCGAGGACCTAGTTCTTATGCAAAGTGCATAAGAAAGCCACTGGAGACCTTAGGGGAAAGAACAGAATGCCATAAATGATTTCCAGATGATCTTAGCATCTTTGGAGAATACACGAGCACAGGCAAGAGTGGATCCTTCTAGACATGGATAAATCTGTCAGAAGGCATCGTCTTGGCCTGAAAATGACTATGGTGTCTCGGAGTATCAGTGTGATTGGTGCAGCTGAGCACCATCTCTCTAGCCCCCTGATTCTATTATTAAGCAATATTCTCCTTTGCTGGAAAATCTCTATCTCATCACAGGAGGCTGAGCATCCTCATCTCCAGGGGGAGAGGATCCAGATCCTTCTGACTCCAATGATATTGCTTCTGATTTCTGTTACCATGGCAGATATGCTGCTTCTGCCTGGATTGGTTGCTGGGGAGATATTAACAGCACCGAGTGACTGATTCCCACAATGATAACCGGTTGTCATGGTGCTAGGAAGTATGTTAGTAAGAATCTGCCAGGTTCAAGTTTCTCATCTAGCTCTGCACAGAAAACCAGGAAGGATGAGAGAAAGGGTCAGGGCATGAGAATCAAGGGAGGCATGCTGAGTCACTGTGCCTCCAGACCTGCCAGAATCAATACTGCTATTACCATTCTCTGTGGAGTGGGAGAGCAGAGGCCCAGCGTGACTGCAGAGAAATTCCAAGTCTCATTTTCCTCCCATCTTAAAGTTTTTTTGAACTGCTTCCTTCTCTGACTAAGACTTCTCTACCCTTATTACCCTCTACAAATCAGTCATATGGTAACCTGCCACTAGATTTTGGTTTTTTTTGTTTTGTTTTTTGTTTTTTGTTTTTTGTTTTTGTTTTTTTAAAGGAGTTTTCATGAAAGCTTTATTTGGGCCTAAGAGACAGAGAGCAGGCCCTAGCCAGAACCTCTGAAGTGAAATCAATAAGGTCAGTGCAGAGAGCATGGGGTCAGAGGCAATCTGGGGAGAGGACAAGGGAACAGTGCAGCTCCTTGGTACAGATGGAGACCAGAGTTCTCGGTGCTTCCTCCTTCTAGACATCATTCCAAACAAGAATCCAGAACAAGGAAGGACTGATGAACTTGTAACCTTCTCTCACCTGCTGCCTGCAGTCATGTGTTATAATACTTTCTCTTTTCCCCTTGAAGAAGAAACACTACCCTTGTGAGTTCCAGGTTCATTAAGTTTGAAATCCTACCTGTCTAGGAGCAGTATTCTTAGCAGTTAAATCCCGAAACATTTTTTTTAGGGGGGGGGGTTCAAGACAGGGTTTCTCTATGTAGCCTTGGCTGTCCTGGAACTCACTCTGTAGACCAGGTTGGCCTCAAACTCACGGAGATCCACCTGCCTCCATCTCCCGGGTGCTGGGATTAAAGGCGTGCGCCACCACCGCCCGACTCACAAATGCCATTAAAAAAATTTTATTTAACTTTTTATTTTATGTGCATTGGTGTGAAGGTGTCAGCTCCTCTGAAACTGGAGTTATAGACAGAAGCAAGCTGCCATGTGGGTGCTGGGAATTGAACCCAGGTTCTCTAGAAGAGCAGTCAGTGCTCTTAACCACTGATCTGTCTCTCCAGCCCCTCACACATGTCATTTTATAGCAAATCCCAGGAAGACTGGAGTCTTAAAAAGGAGAAGAACACACATACTAGTATTCAGACTAACAGGTACCTTTTTTCCTGTGTATTATGCCTTAAAAAACAGGCTCACATTCATGTGATCCTATGCCTAAAGTTGTTTTTTTCTTACATTTATTTAGTATGTGTGGACATATACATGTGTGTAGGTCAGAAGACACTTTGCCAAAGGCAATTTCGTCCTTCCACCATGTGGGTAAGAACATCTCCTCAGTTATCCCTATTGCTTATTTTACCTGAGAGAAGGAGGAGGGCATTATGCATTTGGTCATTTTCAGGGACTTCCAGGAATTTTTAAGTTGTTTATTCCCTGAGTCTTAAGAAGTCCTTCTTTAGACGCCTCTGAGTCTTGTGAACATGGTGGTACAAGCCTTTAATCCCAGCACTCAGGAGGCAGAGGCAGTCGGAGCTCTAATTTCTAGGCCAGCCCAGTCTACATAATGAGTTTCAAGACTCAGTCTCAAAAAATTTTAAAAACCAAACAAACAAATAAAAAACCCAACAATTGAACTCTCTGTCTTAACAAGCTTCCCTTTACTATTTCCTGAGTCTATAAGGTTTCCCTCCAGTGCGGAACATACCAATTCATTGTTTCATAACAGCCTTCAAATTGCTTCTCTAAATAATTTAAAATAAAATGTCCAGCACATAATCACTGATAACAAGAAAAACTTTCAGGTCCTGGAATGGTAAAACAGCCTTGCCAGATCATCCTGTTAATACTGACTATATACATTCCAGACAAAACCCAAAAAAGGCTCTGTGAAGGCATGGAGTCCAAGCGAAAGGAAGAAGAATGAATGGGACCACAGTCCTTGCAGAAAGAAAGCCCCACCAAGTGAGTTCCACATTTCAACAGGCTTTTTCCATCAATATACTTCACCGTTTACTGCAGCACAGAGGGAAAGTAGACCTGGGCAGGAAAGGATGACATCACTGGTGGAAGCTGTGAGTACTGGGATGCCAAGGCAGCCAGAAGCTGAAGGGGAAATCTGGGTAATGTGTGATCTACCAAGAGAGAACCTAAAACATGCACACAAATCCCCTGCAGTTTCAAAGATCCTAAAGAGAAAGCCAAATATCTGAACAAAGATTTTGGCAGCTGCCACGGTTCTAGAGGGGCAAAGCCTGGAGTCCGGAACCCACAAAATTAGAGGGCCTTCCTCTCACTGAAATCTCAAAAGAACCTCAGCAGTAATTACTAAAGAAAGATAATGTAATCCAGAGAATCTGCAATGCACCAACCAAGCCAAAACATCTAGTTTACAACAAAACTCATACTGCAGTTTAGAAACGTGGCCTGCTCGCTGTCCTCCTATAGGGAGCAGTGGGTCAGGTGGTTAGTTATTGAAATAGATCTATTTTAAAGAGTACCGTGGTTTGGATTAGGGTAACCGCAGCGGCTGTGGGAAAATGAGGATGGGCGTTCAGTGTTTTGCGGGTTGAACCTATATGGTTGCTAAAAGATTTTAAATGGATGGCGATAAAACGAGTGTCAAAGGCAATAGATATTCATCACACTGAGTGCTCACTCTTCCCTCCCAGTTCATGTTTAAATATCACAACAAAACCCATGAAGTTGGTTCCGTTCCCACCCCTATTTTATAAGCAACCAGTTTCTCCCTCCTTGAGGACTGAGAATGGAGGCTTATCTCAAAAAGGGTGTAGAGGGTGAGGGCAGAAATTCCAAAAGGTCGAATGGAGAGAAGCCATAAGGGGGGGGATGGCCGACTTGGGTAGGCGTCTGCAGGGGCAGGGCCGCTTGTGATTGGCCGAGCCCCAGAGGAGGGCTCTGCAGATCTTTAGTCACGTCGCTAGCGGGTGGAAAGTGACATCCTGGCCCAGCCCCCTGGCTGTTGTTGCTACTTCCACTGCGACCAAGCCCGGGGAAGCTAGCGCTCGGATCCAATGAAGATGCCTGCGGGCTCCGGGATGCTTCAGCTCTTGGTCTGCTTCCTTCTGCTTTACAGTCGTCCAGGAAGCTGCGGCGACATAAGAGCCCAAAGGCAGGAGGAAACCCGGGGGGGGGGTGCGGGCAGGACCAGAGGGTAATTCTGAGAGCAGAGCATCTGGCCTTCAAAGCTGAAACTCAGGAGGAAAACAGTTTGGGATGACAGAGGAGAGAAATGCAGAGTCTCAGAGACAGTTGTAGTCCTGGGGCTTGTTGTACAGGGTCTAGACATAGAAGGAGCGGGCCCAGGGAAAG